GATCTTATAAGAAAGGCAGAGAGAGGCTTTTTACCGTGGTCTGTAGTGAAAGGACAAGGGGCAACAGTTTTAAATTGAAAAAGGATAGATTTAGATTGGACATAAGGAAGAAATTTTTTATGATGAGGGTGGTAAGATACTGGCATAGGTTGCCCAGAGAGCTTGTGGATGCCCCATCCCTGGAAGTGTTCACAGTTAGGTTGGACTGGGCTTTGAGCAACCTGATGTAGTGAAAGATGTACCTGCCCACGGCAGGGGGGTTGGACTACATGATCTTTAAAGGTCCCTTCTAGCCCAAAGCATTCTGTGATTCCATGAAATGTCTGAGTATTTTATGTATTGCTTATTCTCTCCAGAGCAAGTTGTGTATCCTAACTGCTGTGTAACTGGATGAAAGCAGGGGACAACAGCCTCTTCACACAGTTTCCCACTTGATTTTCTGCAGAATAGCACTGACAAGTGTCATGGTTTAACCCCAGCCAGCAACTAAGCACCACACAGCCGCTCACTCACTTTCCCCCCCACCCACTGGGATGGGAGAAAATCAGGAGAAGAAATAAAACTCGTGGGTTGAGATAAGAACGGTTTAATAGAACAGAAAAGAAGAAACTGCTAATTATAATGATAACACTAATAAAGTGACAACAGCAATAATAAAAGGATCGGAATACACAAATGATGCACAGTGCAATTGCTCACCACCTGCCAATCGACACCCAGTTAGTCCCCAAGCAGTGATCCCCCCAGCCCCACTCGCCCCAGTTTATATACTAGATGTGACATCACATAGTATGGAATATCCCATTAGCCACTTTGGGTCAGCTGCCCTGGCTGTGTCCTGTGCCAACTTCTTGTGCCCCTCCAGCCTTCTTGTTGGCTGGGCATCAGAAGATGAAAAATCCTTGACTTTAGACTAAACATTACTTAGCAAGAACTGAAAACATCAGTGTCATCAACATTCTTCTCATACCCAACTCAAAACCAGCACTATAGCAGCTACTAGGAAGACAATTAATGCTATCCCAGCTGAAACCAGGACAACAAGTGCCTTCTGAGACAGTTTACTAGACTGGGCTGTGCAGGCAAGACAGGGAGTCCCCTGTACAGTGCAGAGATCCCAGAAAGTTTCCATGCCTTGAAACTCAACATTTTCAAGACAAGTCCACCTTGCCATCTAGATTGCTCTCTGGATCAAGCCAGAGGCTCCCATTTATACTTGGAGGTGTTAGTGACCTTTGATGCTTTGGACATCCTGTTCCAAGCACTTCATTGGTCCCTTCGAATGATTACTGAAGCCTCAGATGAGCAAATTAAGTATCTTCCAGCTCATTTGCATCACATTTTCTGTCATTATCAGGGAACACACATTTAAGTCTATCACTTGGTGCCAGGCCAATAGCCAACAATTTCCAATATCAAGAAACCGGGCAGTAGACATCAGTCAGCTCACTGCAAATTGGCAATTAACATGATGGCTAGATAGGTTCACATGAGCATAACATTATTAATTAAACAGCAGCTGGGTTAATCAAGATAGCAAAAGTAATTTGTTGGAATAAATATTTTATTAGTGTGTCCATCAATAAAGCAAAAGAAGAGACTTTAATTAATTCATTTATAAAAATATTCACACTGTGGTGGCTGTAACTGTTTAAGGATCTGGAAACAGGTCTCATCTGTAGAAGGGTATATTCCCACTTTATCGCTTCATGTTAATTGTACTGTAGGTATGAGTTATCCAACTATAATTACTAGTATGTTAGTTACAAGCCAAACACTGCTGTCTGCCTCTGAACAGCAATACCTGACAATTGATGCTAAAAGGCTCTTTTTCCTCTTTGTTGCTTTATTCTTTCAAAAATGTGCATTCTGCCGTTTAATTACAGAAATATATTCTTGGAATATGGTGGGTTATGATATCTCCCAGCATGATTAGAGACCTGATCTTTCTTTTTCCTAAAAAAAGACCATGAAATTGAGAGAGGGTGAATACATTTTTTTATTTCTCCTGGTATTAATAACTAAACAGATGGGGGGAAATGGTATATTTTAAACAAGTATATGCCATAAACACAACAGTTGGCAGCGATTTCTATTTGACTGAAGACTATTTATCTACTAATGCTGAGAAATGTAAAGAAATACTGAGAAACAGAGAGAGGCTGCTGATTTTGCAAGACGGTCATAGATTAGAAAAAGTGTGTTTCAAACACTGAAGAGAGTGGGAAAAGATTTACTTTAAGAAGAAGATCTACTGAAAGAGCAAGATGTAAGCTGTTAGGACTGTTAAAAAAATCAGGCTTGCCATGTCCCATACTTTTTTGGAGGGAAGACCTCTTAGAGTATTTTTCCCTGTTGCTTTCTTCTTTGTGGTTTATTACACATTAGAGTGGAAGTCTCTTTCTGTGCTTTATCTACCTGCCCAGCACCTTAGACATGTGTGAGAAATTTGCTGGAAGCCCTCTCAGATGGGTGTTTTATATAATATGTGTGGATATGGAGTACCCATATACATATAAAGAAGGAATTGCATTTATGAAAGTAAACTTAATTTAAAACAGAATACTAATAAGAAGAAAAAAGAAAGAAATACATGATTGGAAAACAGTAAATATTTCTAAACATTTGATCTTCCTTCTCAAACTTTCAACCCACAAGCTGTACTACAATTCATTTTTATCATGTTCATTATTTACTCAGCAGTTCTCCTCTTCAAAATATTTCAGTCACGTTTAAGGAAAAGAAACAAACCCAAGTGGCTTACACAGTCAAATTACACAACACAAATGGTGAACAGGAAATATGGTACATAAACAGGTGACATTCCCTCATGAAAAGCCACCTGTTTTCTGGTATTTGTGTGGTACTAATGCAAGAATTATTTAATCTATATGTAATGTTCAGGTGGCACAAGCAATATACCTCAACTACGGTCAGTTTTTTGATCCCTTGGAAGCCTTTATATCATGTTGCTTCAGTTGTCATGCCTGAAAGGTGCCCTAAACTGTGAAGTTTAGGGAAAAAAAATGTGCTTAATCTGTCGAGGAGTCTGTAAGCCCGTGCTAGTCCTGGAGGTGCAGGGCAGCAGAACCACAAGATCCCATTTTCATTAATAGCGGGAGGCTGGACCCCTCTTACCCAGGCACACAGTCTTCAGAAGGTAAACGTGGGATCACACTGAGCCAGCCAGCTCCGCCGTGGCTCTAGGTACCACCCAGCTGCAGGCACCATGGCACCAGGCACAGCAGGGCTCGGTAGGTGGGGCACAGCTTGCCCCTAGCCATCTCCAGTGAGCATCTCCTCCAGAGCTGGTTTGCCTTTAGCTGGCTCAGAGCATCAGTACAACAAAGTGGTGTCCACCTGATAGAGGCTGTGGCAATGCTGACCACCCCAGTAAACTGAACCCACAAGAAAGCCAGCGAAGCTGCCGATACTGCGGTCTGCTTAGAGCGAGAGGAAAGTTGGATTAAACTCGCTTTCCTGAAGCACCAGCTAGGTGAATGCCCTGGAGAGGAAGCTCTGACAGGACTGTGCGGCAGCGCTGTGACAGCTCTCATTCAGAAGTAACTCAGCTTTAGCATACTGTAGCTTAATTCTCCGTGGGGAAGATTAATCCCTTGGAGGAGGATTAAGCTACAGTGAACTAAGGCCACTTTATTTCAGAATGGGAAAGGCCACACAGGGATTTAATGTACTTTATCTTATGTGCATTGATTTCACAGCTTTAGTTAATTCATCTTAACTTCCCCGAATTCCCTTGTGTGGACAAGCTTTTTGTCTGCAGAGAGGCTCTTGGAGCTGCTTGTAAAGCTCCTCGTGCAGCCCAACCAGAAAGCAGGTTGGAATGATTTCTGTGCCTCTGAAGGAGCTTATACCTGTCTAGATACTATTAAATTACCTCTTTCTCAGATGGTTGATCCGTAACACCCTTAGAAGAACTATTTTAATTAGATTTTTTGAATGGACCAGAGAAAAGGAGTTTTCTTAAAACTAATCTCCGGGTTATGTTAGAAGTCTCTCATGAACAGTCTTTTCAAGGCTTTCAGATAGCATGAATGTGTACAGCTACACAAACAATATTTTCTCAAGCATGGACATGTATGGGCAGTGCAGTTTAATAGGTTTCCTTGCCCAGTGGGATTTTCTTCTTCCTTGGTGGTGTTCATAAGTAAACATTTTGTCTATATGGAAAGCGAAGAAGCAGAGTTTCTGTTCTCTGATCCTAAAGACATTAATCCCTTCCTCATGATGCTACAAGTGACACAGATCTGGGTTGAGGAGGATGTTTTTGTGGAAGCTGCTGTTAAAATAATGGCATGATTTTGCTGGTGGTGTCCTTTGGGGAAATGAGTTTGTTCATTTCTTGCATCGTTAATGTGATTTACTGTTAGGCCCTTGTGATAAGGTGTTTCTTGATGCTGATGAATCATAACCCAGCTTTACTGTTCAGCTACATCATGACAATTCACATATCAAATTAAACTTTTGCCAAACAGTTCTTCACTGGGACACTTCATGCAACACAAAAAGACATCTCTTGTGGTATCCATACAAGCTTTACCGTGGCTTAATTCTGTAGCAGTCAACAAATATTTTATCTTTTTAATACATAAATTAGGTGCTTAGAGGGCCCATGTTCATGTGGACAAAGTTGTGTGAGAACAGAGGTACTGAACAAGCAAAGGAATGTAAGTAATAGCTGAACGTCAAGGTCCGAGTGTTTTCCACCAGTATTACTCAACAGTAGTATTCATCAATACTGATCTCAGTGGGAATGGGAAAAGATTTTAAAATATAATGTGACATGAGCAAAAGAGAGAAAGTCTCTTTAATTTAGCTGTTTGCGACCATTTACACTGAAATTTACATATGAGTACAGGAAATGGAAGCAAATAATTTTTAAATTTAGCTGTGATACCTGTTTTTATATACCATTGTACTAAAAGCTTGATAAGTGTTCAATGTGTTCTAATGATTGCTTTTCCTCTTCTTTCATACAGCTTATTGGATTTGTGTATGCCTGTTACGTGATCAGTATTTTCATGGAGGAGGAGGACAGCTGTAAGTACTGATACATACCTCTCCATCTCTGGAGCCACAGTACCTGGGGTGAGACTTAGTCTTGCATTAACTACCAAGGTGAAGAACAAAGTTTCAAAAATGGCAGAATCTGGCATTCATGTACACAATCAATTGTGCTCAAAGACATACTTGTTTAGGTACTACCACCTTATCTAGCTGTCAGGACTGTACTTACTAAACTTCTTCATAGATATCTGTGAACCACTTGCATGAACCAGTCACACTGCTGAAAATCATGTAATCCACACTGCGCATATATATATACTTATGTAAGTCTTTATGTATGTACATTTAGATTTGAATCAAAGGTGCTGAAGCCATTTAGTCTGTTTTTCCAAATGATAGCTTTATCAGCAGTAAAATAAACAGAGATAACAGACCAAGCCATTTGCAGTATGCAGTATCACTCTGATCAATAATTAGGTAGACCTGTTCAACAGCTACAAGTTACTAGACCATGCATCCAAAATGCTGACCCTATGTTCTTAACCTGCCTTTATCAATAAAATCCTTATATACATACCCATATTGTTCAAAAAGTTTGAAAATGTGCACACCTTTAAAAAATTATTTCTCAAAAGTCATTAAATGGGCATTGGAAAAATCTGAATATGCTGAACATTTTGGTAGGATGCTGTGTGAAAAGAGATTGTGAGAACTGCCTGACAAGGTCACCATACCCACATGACTAGCATAGAGTTTGGTAAAAGCAGTAGTGAGAATGGAATAATACTGGATGAGCAAAGAGGATCCAATACAAGAACAAGCCTATTTAAAAAAGGGACAATGTGTGATCATGGCAGTTACTTCCTCTCATATATGAGGAGTTAAGCAGTAAAATATCTACCTCTAGGGAAAAAAAAAAGGAACAAATGTCAATACCATTTTATGGCTATAGGATAAATAATACACAGCCAAATATTTATTCATAAACTTTTATTCATAAATCTCAACATAGTTGTTTTGTTTCTTCACAGAATAGCACTAGTGGGTGAAATGAATATAGTAGAAAACATTGATTCAGTTTGTAGGAAAGCATTTGATAATATCTGGAAAATCTTATTGAAAACATAATTTAAGTAATTCATGGCTGTGAGGTAAAAGCAGACTTTTTGATTGAAAACAGTGTGAAGGACCATAAACAAAATACTTTTCCATTGCTACAAACTGTACAACGTTCGGTTCTCCATCATAATGCAACAGACATTAGTGTCAAATCTATTTTAACACTTTCATTTAAATTTCTGATAGGAAGAAAATATATCAAAGAGATTCTCAGATAAAACTGAGTGGGAAGAAGTCATAAGCATGTTGTGCACATCATGTACTGTGAAAAGGTACAAGGAGCCTGGACAAATACTGGTACTATGAAGGAGAAATGTGAACACTTGGAGAAGGAGCATTAAATGTAGGTCTTGAGGAGGAGGAAAAGCCCAGACAATGTTCCCTTGGAAAGCTGGGAATTGCCAGTTAGTCAGTAACCGGTAACACAGGGTAACAGCAGAGGATAACATGGCAGCAAGACGGCTGTATAATTTGGGAAGTATAAACGGAGTCTTTGGCCAGTGAAATCCACAGACAACTCCTTTCCGTATAGCTGTGGTGAGTCATGACAGTAGCTAGGGCTTCATACGGATATCTGGAAACTTCATTTATGAGACAATTGCTAACTAAGTTCCTGGAACTGGGAGGCTTCATTAAATGATTGGGAAGGCCAGCAGACTGATAAGGAGGACACAAACTACATTGCTTTTAAAAGAGTAATAGTGTGTGTATACGCACACCCACATGCAAACACAGATATATCCGTACCTGGGAAGACAGACTCTTCACTTTTTACACAAGTATGTTATATTATTGTTGGTTTTGTTTAGTCCTTTATAGTGCATTTCACACATCGATGTTTTATGCACGTGTGACAGAAAGACAAAACTCCCACCCAAGATGCAACGCACTCATGGAAAATGCAGTCACCTGCTAAAGAGTATATGTGGTTTATATTCAGGGTCTCACAAGAAGGTTATTGTCAAGTTAAGGGCCTTGTTTACTTAGAAAATTTGTCTTCTTCAGAAGAGTTGGGGCAAGGTCTATCTTTGACATCCAAGGCCGCATCCACTTTCCTCTGACTGTGAGCCCACCTTACTGTCTTTTGAGAGTTTCGTGCCATATGTTACCAATGGAAATTTAAATCACTGAGTATGCTGACATATTTATTAACCAGTAAAACACATCAAGTGCTAGGGTGATCCAGCATGTAAAACTACTCAGTGCCCTTTCTCCACAAAGGAATTTGTGTTTAATTTCTGCTTGTCTTCCAGAACTGCCAGTGGCAATCTGGTGTTTTGTTACAAGTGAAAACCATCTCACTCATCTTGGAAAAGATGGTGTAATTTAGTTCAGCAATGTCCTTTGTTAGGAATGGGCAAGTTTCATATTTTCACTTGTACCATTACATATAATCTTCTAGACTCTGGTGTGAATAGGTTTTTTAGTTAAGAGAGGATGACCTGGGGCAAGGCTGAGAGTGGTGCGCTGGAAGTGGAGCTAAAAAGAAGAATAGATACATCTAGGAGATTTTACAACCAGTGGAGGGAAATAATGTCTGATTTGTTACTTTTTTATTCCCTTCTAAGACCCTGAATCCAATCAGAAGCAACTAAATAGCCCTTTAATATCTCACTTTCTGCTAATTTGTGATTTAATGCCCATTTGTGTTGTAGAGTCCTCTATGCTTACAGAGAAATACATTAAACACAAATGGCAATCATAACTCATTCATGGCAATCCCACAGATATGTTTTAAATAAAGAAACGTCTGTGTAAGGCACAGTGGGAAAAGAGTTTGGTCTGGTAATGAGCTGAGAAGAACAGGACTTACTCTAGAAAAATTCACATTGTTAACTTGCAGCATAATGAACAAAAATGCATTTAAATAAGAAGTACAGTGGTGCTTCAAAACAGTCAGGTTAAAAGTAGACAGTAATTACATTAGGATAAAAGTCCAAGAAACTGCAACGAAAGAGCAATTTTACACATTTTAATATAATGCAGCAGATTCTTTTCTTAGGTAGATGCAGCTATTCTATCATATTTTTGCAGGAGTTTGCACAGAATAAATCCTCAGCCATCTGAGAGTCAAAGCCTCCCTAATTAAATATACTCTGCAATATTCAGTGCATCAAGTTAACCCCAGTTCTTGGTCTGAAACCCATCAGGCAGACTTAAAAATTAATAATAGCTGCCTGTTTAGCCTCTGTGCAGTACTTAAATGGATTTTGAGCCTGACATTTTGGCTGATGGACACTTTTCTGAACAGTAATAATGCTTGAGGAAACATTTATTTCCAGCTATTGCTCACCTTACCTACGTTTCAGACTGTAGTTAACTTTTACTTAGAAGGAGGATGATAACAGGTCAAAAGGAATGGAAAAGAAGACATGTAAAAGGCACACTGTTGTAGTGGGGTTAATACCTTCCATCATTCATCCTAATGAAAAAGTCTATTTATATCTCTTCCTTTCATTTTTTCATTTCTTTCTTTGTAGATCTATCAATTTATATAAGCCCTTTTGAAGGAACAGAATATGTGAAATCTGTAATCATAAAAGCCTGTCACTATCCTGTTTGTGACTCATTTTCTCCTAAAAATGAACTCAGAAGCTTGTTGCCACCTTGTCAGTTACTGAATGGTTTTAATAAAGCAGAGTCTGGAGACTAGGCAAAATACATTGTTAAAATCATTATTAAATTTCTAAATAGTTTCTGGACTTTTTTGAAAGACAGTTGATAGCACTATTGCTGCTAAATTCTAGTTCATAAATACGACATTGACACATGTCAGAACTGATAGTTCTGTACTGTATGTGAATTTGTGGAGTAGAAGCTGTGTTGCATATAAATTGCATAAGGAAAAAAAAGTGAAATCAGAGGAGAAGATCTGCCACAAAACTGCGACTGTGATTTCAGCATTTATCATAAAAACAAGACTGAAACACTAAAAGGTGAGTCCAAGGAAGCTCAAACCTCTTTTGTGCATGAGCAAAAAATAAAGGAAAGAGCTTCCATTCACTATGAAGGAAAGCTTTATCCCCTAAATGAAACCACAAGAACAAAATTAATAAACAAAAGCATTTTCTTTTTTTTTTAGTCTCTCCCCTATGCTAGTTGTATTCAGAGCTCAGCTGTACTTTCAGAACAGAGAGGAAGATGGATCTGTTTTTAAAAAAGAAGAATTTCCCCATACTATGGTATCAATAGGAACCTCCATATGCCATCATTAGACAAATATTAAGTAAAGCAAGATACATTATTACCATTGCTGAAAAACTACTGCATTGCCTTATCTGACATATGGCATTATATTTATACACACCATTGAGCATCTGTTGGCAGTAATCAAACTAGAGAGAAAGAACTTTTTCTTCACATTTAATTTAATATTTGTAGTTACACAGTAGGTCCAGCAGTGATAAATTTCTTATAAATATGTTATTTTTTGCAAATGAATGAAGAACTAATATTAGCAACAGACCTATATATGTTTGCATGTGTGATTACCTTTATATATAAATACACAAGTTTCCCTAACTAAGGAATTTTGGGGAACCCACTACTAATATCTTTACATCAATTGCAATTGCCCATATGGTTGAGTCCATTTACCTTCTAGAAAAGAGAATTTTTATCATAAAATGGTTAATACCGAGAATGACCAAGAAGGACCTACACTTCTGTTGGGCAATACAAGAATCAAACATCCCCAGACAATGACTACCCTAAATTACCTCACTGAAAATGAGGACTTACGAAACTTGCCAAACAGTAGCCAGCAGCGCAGATCATCACTGGGCTTTAGCACTCACTACGCTCACCTTTAGGCCATAATGACTTGAGGTACTGAAACAAAATGTGTTGTTACTCACCATTGGATGAATATGCTGGACACAAACTTTTAAAATGATAGTAAGTTTTACAGCCTG